CTCACCATGTTTTCAACTAATTCAACGTGCTCCGCTGAAGTGATGGCCACTTTGTGGACTCACTGAGAATCGTGCCCCTGTCGTCACAGTGATGTGAGATTTTCAGGGGGATGTCACCACCCCCATGTTTTTTAAACGAAAAGTGTTTCGTGTTGAGTATACCAGGACTTCAGTAACAATTTTTTTGTTTCGAATATGACGTGATTTGTTTTACATTGACGAATAAGAAAAAACTAAGAAACGAATTCACCGCTGGGAATCGAATGTATGACCTCTCGGCCCGCGACGCCAAACACTCAGTGCACCACAAACGCACTTTCACCCATTACAGCCGTTATAGGCATCGCGACGGTTGGTCAAAATGGCGGACGAGACGGTGCTGAGGTGCGCGTCTCGGGCACCCATGGAGGAAGGCAGGCAGCAAAGATCGTCAGGCCCTCTAGTTACGCTGCAGACCACACTTTGTCGCGCTGAAAATACGAATAGTTGTATGAATGAAAATGACTTAGCGCCTATGTATACGGCGAGACCAAACTGCATTGCAGACTTTTCACCATGTGCCAGGATCGAAGGAAAGCCGCGTGGCGTCGCCTGGGTCGATGGCACTGTGCTCTCTGTTGGAGGAGTTAGGCAGAACGGTGGGTTGACGCTTTGTTCGAGCTGTCAGAGAGAGTAACGTGGCATGACTAATAGTAGCGCGGATAGAGAACGTTTCGGCAAGGACCTAAATAATAAATGGCCTCCAGAGGCTGTGGTTAAAGGGTCCATGACAGTAAAAAACACTCACCTTTCTAGCATCACGAGTCATCTTTGACGCATTTATGTTCTGTACCTTTCGCTTTGTGTTAGCGTGCGACGGCTATCACAGTAGTACAGCTTTCACATGCAGCAAAAGTGTTTCTACGCTGCCGACTGATTCGAATCGCTTACGGCTGCGGCGGAAGCTCAGAAAGCGAAGAGCGTGCCTTGGGGAAGCTAGGCAGACACCAGTGGGACGGGATGCATACCGACTGCGCGCAATTGCTGATCGAGCTACGTGTTGCTGAAGCCCCGAGTAAAAGTGTACGTACGTGCAGGTGTATATTTCCCTATTATTCGGGGAGCTGCACACTGTGCTGTTCATCTCCCTAATACTGAACCAAAATACGAAAAGTTTGCAAAAATGCTGAAAATTGATTCTCAGTGTACATTTACACCGAGTAAAAGTCGTCACTCATGGAAATATTCAGTGGGTGGTCTTATTTTCTACGTTTTTTCAAGCGTGTACCAAGGCACTCTGCCCATGCGAGTTCAAAGCCGTGATGTCGTGACTCTCTTATTTGACAGCTGGCCAGCCACACTACTTTGAAGGGCGCACAGTGGCATTGTAACTCAGTGTGCATTTATGTCGTGGTGCCTCTACCAGTGACCAATTCTGTGCAAAGCGATGAAAAGAAGCAGGAGGCCATATAAGGGCTAGTCAGGCCGTCCAGGCCACCAACGTGGTTCAACGTGTAGTGAACGAAGCAGATAAATAATGCGACTATGGAGGATGTTAAGTGCATTGTTTCACCAGCTTTGGGAAGGCAGAAAGGCGGCTATTACACCTGAATTATGCCATCGTTGTTCATCATTTTGTGTATAGCTATGGAGTTTGCGTGGCGATTGCTGCGCAGTTTATTTGTGCGAGAGGCACTGCATGTGCGAATTTATCAGCAGTTTGATAGCTCTGTGTATCCGACAGCTGCTGATACGTTCATGCTACTGCAAGCCATTTACAGGTTTAATTAATTAAAATCGGTTAACATAATCACAATGAAGAGCATGAAATATTGGAAAGCGAGACTGATTCGCCTGCATACTATACATTGGCTGTCCTTTTTTTTTTGCGAAATGCAACAAAGTGAAGCAACAAAGTGGGTTCTTAGCTAGCCAATGAGGTATAATTGTAAAGGTGTCCAGGTTTTGCATGATGACTGAGCAGCGCGTATGCAATCTCTACGCTGCTTGCGATCTCTAGAAAACTTGTGCGATGGTGTGTCATGATTCATGACCGATGATCCTCTTATGAAACTAGTCAGCACCGCAGTAGCTATAGTCGCTTATAAGTCAACGGATTTCCTCCTCAAAGGCTGATGCACACAAGCCTGCACCAAAGGTTGTGTTTGGCATCTGTTTTTCCAGTTGCCACACTTTCTGATGATTCTGTCCAGACTGCAGCCAAATTGAGCGGAGAAATTAGCCCCTGGAGTTGTGGCTTCTTCGTGAGAATTTGGTGTCGTCCGCGGTGCATTTCGCGATAAAACTTATTAACTGAATGAACGTACAACACGCGTGGCTGAAGTCGGGGCGCATTCTCTTGCTGTGTGTGCTGCTGTGCAATTAATATGTCATCACTCAGATTTAGAGAATGTCGTGGAGGTTTTTTCTTGTATTTGTTAACCTCTGAACCTTTGTGTCCAGTTTGACTGTGTCAGAGCCTAGCGCTGGGTTATGATAAAAATGAATTGCAGCTAGAATAGAACAGCAAGCCTGCGGTGTGGTTAAATGCATACTGAGGCAAAAACATTGGCCAAGCGTTTTTCTGATCCAATGAGTTGTTTGGGGCCTGTTAGTCATAACACGACACATCGTTTGGAGCAGCATGCGACATATAAATATTTACAGGCCCCTAATAATTGGTAGCTTTCGGTTTGAGAGAGCTCGAAAAATTAGAAGCCGACGGGTGCATGTATTGCCACATAGTGTGTACAGCTCTCGACCATGTTAGGGCACAGAACTCTGACACATTTCCGCACGCTCCGCATCAAGAATTATTTCTGAATAGGAAACGGGACTGCAGTGTAACCATACACAGAACCTTCAAAGCGTGCACCACACAGCCACAAACTCGTGACTAACCGCTGAGAAGTAGAGACTGCGGAAACAAACCTGGCGACAGAAAAATGGCGGCAATGACGTCATCTTAACTTGTTTGTATTGACTGCGATGTGGTGGCATGAGAGAACTAAGAGGTTCCCAAAGTGTGTCAAGGGCACCATGGTGTTAAGTGCTCACGCCAACTTCAAAATCAATTAAAATACCTTCAATGCTATATTCGCTGTTGATATTTTGCAAATGATATACGAATGTTCACTGGAATGGATCCTGCAGGCTCTCTCGGCCTTGAATATTTGTGTCAGTACCTTTTTAAAGAAGGCTTTGGAACCAGTCTGTGCCCAAGTAGCCGGAATTTATGTGGAGTCCTGCGTTTTGGCAACCCTAATAACCCACCGAGTAGTTTAAGAACCTCTCAAGCTGTAAATTATTATAGATATTTATTGTTTTTTACATTAACTGTTTGATGCTTGAATCATGAAACCACATTAATTCTTGTTTCACTTTTCAGCAATAAATATCAATTTTTTTAAATTCTGCAATATATTTGTCGAAAATTCAACTTCAATGCATATATCTAGGTATGTTGCAGATCTGAAACAACAGGCACATAAGCCAGTAGGTGGCTCAATATGCAGACGTGTTCAAAGCCACACCTTGAAGAGAGGTGTTTGATCATTGATTGTCACTTGTTTCAATGCGAATTTGACTATTTTGTTTTTTCACAGTGATTACGTGACATCTTTTCGGCGACCATGTGGGAACTGTAGACTTCGCCGCCTAAAGTAACAGACGTTTTGCGAGTTGAAAATGTGCCATAAATGCGACAGCGCCAAAAGATTCATCTAGCTGATCATGAAGCAGAGCCAGTTTCTTGTTGGGATATTTTTTTTTGCTTTGCAAAAAGGTTGTACTCAAAAAGTAAGCTCTACTCAACCAAAGACGGTTTCACAAAAAATTTTTTGAAATATTCTCTGGGACTTACGATAGTGTCATCAAGGAAGAGTGGCTTTTCAGGGTGAAATTTCTTGCTGTTCTGAACAGTTTTTTTTCATCCCGTTGAATGTGCTATAAAGGAACTCAGTTCATGTACCGCATCTTTACTTTCATTCTCACTGCTTGCTGAAGCCAAACGTGTGCTTGTGCATGAGGATCAGCATCGATATACAGACAGCAATTGTTACTATTATCTTGAAGTGGCAACCACGTGCAAAGCCCTATTTTTCCTTGAGTTGGTGGACGTGGGTCCGCTATTATAGGCAAAATACAAACATGTCATACCGGGATTCACGAGTTACTGCCTCAAATGCCGAATGTGACGAATTTGCGGCATACCACAAAAGCGATCATTGTGAAATAAACGTTTTCAGAACGCGACATGTGTGCAATTTCTTTGATGTGTGCACACCAAAAACATTTCATAAAAGATACACCTTTGGTCATTCAAGTGAGAAAGAAACGAAATGAGAGCTGTGCCATGTGCTTCTGCTCTCCGTCATGAGCTTGAGAACATTTGGTTTTAGCCCAGAATACCTTGCATGAGATGGCGTAGATGTCTCGTGCTGAAAGGTACGTATTTTACGAGTACGTGACAACCGGAATCGAAGGCAGAATCCGTTTTGTGGCGTGCTTGGTGGGAATTTTTTGGTATGTGTCGAATACATGACATGTGGCATTACAAGGTTAAACTGGCACTGAAGAGAAAACAAATCGCAGTTGTATTTTTGTAAATTACCTTTCCATTTCACAAAAAAAAACACAATCATTCTTGCTTTGAGAAGACGCTTCATGAGCCAGAAAAAAACTAAAACAAAATACTGGGATTAGCGCAGTCTCATTATTGAGGCAATATAGCAGTGGGGTTTACATGCGGTATGTTAATGTTGTTACATAAGACCTTTTTTTTATCCAAATAATGAATCATTATAGCAAAAGTAGTTACAGCAGTTCTTGGAGCGCATCGTTCTAAGCTCACTGTTTCACTGTAGTGTCCATTGAAATACTAATATAAGTGCCTTGAATCCTGTGTAGTTCGGGAATGTAAGCACACCCTGTATTTAACCCAATTTTCTGCAGAATAATGCTGGCAAGCCTGGCCCTGCAAAAAAGGCCCTTTTTTCACGTCTTCCACTTGATGTGATAAGCACCCGCTTCAACACCGATGGAGCATGTGGTATTTCAAGAACGACAAGAAATGCAGCTGGGAGGATAACCATATTGAAATCACCTCCTTTGACACTGTGGAGGACTTCTGGGCCCTTTTTAATTACTTGGAGGTGGCAAGTAAGCTTCGTCTTGGATGTGATTATTCACTTTTTAAGGTAAACGCACCATTTCTTTCTGTTGCAGTATAGTTTTTTTGGCTTGTGTTATATTGTTTACATCCCGGCAAATTAAAATTTCTTTTCGATATTGGGGGTCTTTTGAAGGCAGGTGGGAGGTAGCCACATAGCCTATGGAGACATGGCCATTTAGATTACAATAAAAACAATGTTTATTGTTCATTACCACGCCTAATTATATTTATCACCTTTCATCAGTTATTCAAATAATTGATTTTTGTGTGTTGGATTCGTTTCTTGTGAACCCAGCACCTGCTATAGTGGTTAGTCAAGCCATTGAACACTCAAAATTAGTTTAACTTGCATGCTTGAGCAACCTAGTGATATTTAACTGACCTTTGTGCAAACCTACATGCATGATTAGAAAGCGTACTTGGCTGACCCATATGAAGGAAATCCCTGTAACTCATGGGGATGCGTCAGTTTATAGTTTTTTCAGTTACATACACCTGTGCGTGTCACATATTAAATTATAGTGTCAGGTTGGAAGTGTGAGTGCAGGCAGTAATAATTGCCCATTGCTGACGGTTTTACAGGTGAATAACGTCTGAAGGTCGCCTTTTCAGCCAGTTTCTAGCAGCTTTAGTTTTGCTTCTCTTGTTAAATCTGACAGGGGTGCATCCGGTGTCGCGAGTTTCTCCTATGGTGGTGGTGTCACGCGTGCATGAGTGTGCAACTGCACCGTGAGAAACGCGTTCCTTCTTGCAACGTCACCTGAAGCGAGTGACGAGCAAACAAGCTTTGAGTTTGAAGACAGTGCCTCAGTTTCAAGCTCTCACAGTGACAATGTTTTGTGTCAGCTTGAGACATCGCAGTCGTTCAGGGGTTTGTTTGTTTAAGGTCTCAAATGGTCTCCTCCACTGCACGTGCTTAGGTTCTGACCTTTGTGCACAATCTAAGAGCTAGTGTGGTTAGGTGTGAGGTCTACACATCACTTCGGGGTGCGATGTGCTAGGGCTGGCTGCAAAGCTCTTCCCGCCCAGAAGGCCGCCTGGAGCACATTTCGGCCCCCCAAGGGCTGCGTGAGAGGGTTCACGACCGGGTACGAAACTTCAACCTTGAGTTTCTCCACTAACAATGAACTTACGATAGCAAAACATATGAAATTAGAATATGTCAATCTGAACAAAATCATTGTTTCTTTGTGTTCCTTCAACACATCTCACACCCTGGAGCAAGCAAACATTTATTGTAAAACTATTAGATTTTATAGTCATCGTCTCCGAACATCAGCAGGCTAGCCTCATCGCAATGGAGATTATCCGAATGAGTCAACATTAATTCCTGTGTTTGCTAATATGCGTCCCACATACAGCCTAAATTGTAAGTCATTGTTGGGGGGACTAGATGTTGATTTACTCATTATTTGCGTGTACCATGAGCATATAATGAATCTGCTGCTTGAACGTTGTGAATAGCTGTCTTCCCATGACCTCACACTGTCATTACATGTCACCGAGAAACTGCTTCGTAGATATCGACTGAAAAAGTTTCTTTAAATTAGCATTATTAAAATAAATGTGATGTATTTCGAAGCACCTCATTACCCAACAAAACTCCTGGAAATTTTCAGTTACCTGCGATGCTGAACTATTGCTCGAGTGGTGCATCATGATCTCAGAAGGCTCAGTGGAGGGGTTCGTGTTGGAACTCGTTCTATGGCTTACCCAAGGGTACAACAGCTGTGCCTATTGTGCCAAGTTCATACAATTTCCTACTGTTACAGAGAACTACACCAAACCGATGCGATTTGCTGAAATCACACCGCGCTGAGCGAAAATGTCCGACCAGCCTCGAAATTATCTCAGGTGCACTAATCTCTGCGAATAATGGAGGCCACATTGGCCCCTGTATTTTACGTCGTCAATCAAACCAAGCGTGGAGCCCCTAAGCCTAAGCCACGGTGTAAGGCCCCGCCGTGGTTGTCTAGTTGCTAAGGTGTTCGGCTGCTGAGCAGCAGGTCGCAAGATCGAAGCCCGGGTGCAGTGGCTGAATTTTAGGTGGAAGTGAAAACGCTGTGAGCCCATATGCTAGGAACGTAAGCCGTGTACGGCGTGCTAGGAACGTATGCCGTGTTTTCGCGCGCGAACAAGGCCGAAGTGCTGTGAATGCCGTCATTGCCACCCACCATGTTGGTTACCATAGCAATGGCTATTAAGAAATTTTTCAGCCTTGAAATTGGGTGGTCTCGGCGATCCGGCGCCATCGCCGGGCCAACGCGCGCGCGCATTGTTAATTTATCTGGTTGAACGTTCCTTGTAAGCGAGCCAAGATGTTGTGCCCTAAACAAAGAAAGAAAACAAAAAAGGTTGAGGTGGGATTCATCGGGGGAGGGGGAGATTGGGCGTTGTAGTGGTTCGACAATTGGCTGGCCTTGTTCAACATCACGTAGAACGCTGCTTTGCGACCTTCGCCGCTGTACATCGTTGCTTCGCAGAAAAGTGTATTATATTTGGATGATGCTATTGGCGCCAGTCACGGGACACAGCAAATTTTGTTCAATTACTCATGCGCTTATGCGCCGCATAACTGAGTGCTCGCATGGTCACTGACGTCTAAAAAAGTTACTGGTAATCATTTGGGGCAGTGAAGCGAATGAAGTTTTGGCTGCCCTGAAAAAGAAAAACAGACACACCTGTTCGGCAGATTTTTTTTCTTTTGTTGCCACCCCTACTCCTTGGCTTTACGAATCTCCCGAAGGTCAAGGTCCCTTGCTTGACAGAGCCACACACGAGTTTGCAGAGTCAGTGAAATGGCTCGACAGACACGGGGAATGCTGATGCGGACGTCATTGTTTGCTTTCAGATTGCTACTTTCATTGAAATAGCAGCGCCCACGCTCATGGTGCATGATATAGGTGGTTTATTGTTTTGCACATGCATTTATTGTTTAAAATGTAAGCCTTCTTTTTCGTGCTGCTCCAAATTGGCCCTTTCATGATTAAACATTTGTTATTTTTGCTGTAACCCACTTCAAATTTTAGTGCTCCAAAAGTAATATTTTGCTGCTCCGAAAATTGCTCCAAGTTCTATTTAACCTGTTGCACCCATGCATACTGCTAAATCATAAGTGAATGGTTGCTGAGACAGGTGGACTTGTACCTTATATCGTTGGCTGACTAGTTCCTTTTTAGAGACTGATATTTCTATTACAGTATGGCATCAAGCCCATGTGGGAAGACGGCCGAAATGAAAATGGAGGCCGTTGGCTTTTCAGCTTGAACAAAAGCCAGAGGAATACGGACTTGGACTACTACTGGCTCGAAATCGTAAGTTATCTTTTCACAAATAGTAGAAACAGGTTTGACATTGCAAGTATACCCACTTCTATTTCATAGGGTATGAATATAATGCACTCTAGCCTGCATATATCGAACTCTGTAAAGACAGGTAATCGATAAACTGTATAGTTCAGTACAAAACATCTGAAGATGTTACTGTGTTTTCAGTGTAAATTTTAATGTACATGTTGGCTTTATGGCAGTGCTTTAGAATTACGGTGTTTACTTGTATAATTTGGGCACACTTTCTGTGATCTTGAAGCGCTTAAAAGGTTTCCAAATTTCGCATATTTCACAAAATCATTTGAAGAAATGTGCAATTGTACATTCAGTCGCCGACCCATTTTCCCGAGTCGGCCAAGACCATGAAATAGTCTAAGAAATCCAACAGTCCGAAAAAATGGTGAAGCCTTGAAAAATCACAAATAATGCAATGCTTCATGCTGTACTTCGGGACTAGCAATTTAGGTTATATTTGGGCTATGGCAATTTTGTTAGATAGCGCGTTAGCAATCGCTGCCGCAGACCGTTGTGGGCGGCAAAGTTAGCGGCTTCATGGAACAAAGCAAACACAACTTGATGCCGGTCGCAAAAAGATGCATGCAACGTCTCGCCTGTTTGGTGTCATTTACCAAGACGGTATTGGATTCGTTTACCAGCACAGACACTGTACATTACGCTAGCCTTCAGCGACCATCAAAATAGCCCCGCCACGGTGGTCTAGTGGCTAAGGTACTCGGCTGCTGACCCGCAGGTTGCGGGATCAAATCCCGGCTGTGGCGGCTGCATTTCCGATGGAGGCGGAAATGTTGTAGGCCCGTGTACTCAAATTTGGGTGCACGTTAAAGAACCCCAGGTGGTCTAAACTTCCGGAGCCCTCCACTACGGCGTCTCTCATAATCATGTGGTGGTTTTGGGACGTTAAACCCCACAAACAACAACAACAACATCAAAATAGCACTCTCGTGGCCGTAATTAAACCCGCGTGTTCCAGGACAGCTATTCTCAGCGTGTCCTACAATTCGTGGACATGTCATATTCGGCCTCCCCTGTATGCCTGGAGGTGGCTGCATCTTTCCCATCTTTTTTTGCGCAACGTCATTTTGACGCTACGCAGTTTTCACAACACTTGACACAAATGAGATCGGTGGAATGCGTTTCACAACAACCAATGCTGCCCCCAGAGATCATCTCTAGGACGCGCATCTCTGAGTCCCTGCATGGACTCAAATAGAGTTAGCCCTTGAAATACGTTTAACAAGGCCGCCCGCCTGACGCCTCTGAAAGGTCTGTACATAGTCCCTGCATCGTTCATCAAAGATTTCGACACGTTCACAAGCACGTTCAGAGTTCATCAATTTTAAGAGTCCTGTTACTTTACTTTTTATCCACTTGGTTTCTTTTTACGCTGAGAACGGACTGGCGGGTTCAGTGCGCCCATGTGGTCAAGCAGGTCATGACGTCAGGACTCACTGTTTTTTATTTGTTTTTGCGTAATTGAACGCGCTTCGCTGAATTGGACACCGCTAGAATAGCTCCCCAGATCAGTAGCCAAGCACTGTGCCTCCACCTCCCCAGAATGTTACTAAGCTATCGCGAACAGCAGCAAGCATATAACGCGCATAGCGGCTCAAAAACACTTGGCGCACTACTGACACGACTAACACAACGTGCGCAGTGACGGCCGGAAAAGAAACTCGCAAAAAATAAAAGCTACCGTTGTACTATTGGTGATAAGGTTGGCTGTAAAAGAAACTCTGCCATTTTCCTAGCTATGGAAGATAAGACATGACATCCAAATTCGAAAGATAGTGTGCGCAAATAAGATCAGGCATGGCCTCTGGAATCGGAAGCTAGTAAGCGCTTCCAATTTTGTAGGCCGGACAACTAGCTACTGTAAGCCAAACTCAACCAAGCCAACAAAAGATCCAGCAAGGCGGTTGCCGAAATTGAGAGGCGTAGCTCAGAAGAAATGGTTTACTCTAGAAAGTCAATCTTTGGAACATTAATTCATTCAAGAAATAAGTCCCGAAAGTGCATTAGTGCATGGAACCTTGAAAGTGCATATGTGAAATCCAAAATACCCAACAAGTTCGAATTTTTGGAGTCCGAAAAATCTGTCAGCGGCTGTAGTACAACACAGGCCGTATATAAATAAAAAACAGAAAAAATGGAGCACAAATGAAGTGTACATGTTTCTTTCACACTAAAAACCCAGAGGTAAACCAGCGAAATTTTGTCACACGCGACCTAGTCAGACCTCTGAGTGAGATGTCCGATAGGGAATCATCGCGGCCGCTGTGTCACTGTTCTCCCAAAGCTCGTCATTCTCAGTGCCATCAAGCACGTTTGAAGGCCCCGTTTTCTTGAAGCTTCTCTCGACAATGCTGGGAGGAACCATGTCTCACAACTTAGTGATATCTGAGAACCTAACTTTCGCTCGTAATTAGACGTCTTCTTTAATTGCAGAAAACTGGTGTACGGTCAACTTCCATTATTGCGAAGTTCACTGGAACCAAAAAACTTCGAAATAAATAACTTCAAATTAGGCAAACTGCACAAAAACTGTACTTTTATTGCTTCAAAACTGACCATTCTCAAATAAAATAGTCTGCCATCTTCTCTTGCCGAACCTTGCTGTCGCTAGCAAGCTTTCCATGCACATGGGGCAACAGCTGCGCCAATTGCACCAATTTGATACAATTTTCATTTGTTGCGCCTAGCTAAAACCGTAAAATTTGCTGAAATTGCGCCACACTGTGCCCAAATGCCCAGCCAGTCTTAAAATTTTTTCAGGAGTGCTGATTTCGGTGATAAATTCAGGTCACATAGGCCACCTGCAGGTTGCTCCATCAGTCAAAATGCGCAGACATCAACTATAGTTCAGATGATATACCTTAAACATTCTAGGCACCCGCCCTACGTTTGTGAGATGCTATCGACCAGATAAAGCTAACGACGCTGTGCGCCGATTGGTTCACTGACTGCAGCGGATACCTATCGGCGAGACGACAGAACTTAAGTAAAAAATTCGTTGCTTTAGCCCCCAATGTCGCCATCAACGCTTTCGGAAAATGTAAATTTCCTAGCCTGAAAATGCATCAATCAATCAATCAATCAATCAATCAATCAATCAATCAATCAATCAATCAATCAATCAATCAATCAATCAATCAATCAAGCAAGCAATCGATCAATTAATCAATCAATCACTCAATTAATCAAGCAATCAATCAATCAGTCAATCAATCAGTTTTATTTTCACACTCGAAAGAGAGGGGACAGTACTAAAAGCTACTGCAGCTTGACAGAGGTCCTGCCCCCTTTTATAAATGACAGCAGCACATTGCCGAGAAAGAATAGATACACCACACTAAAAACAAAGTAATATGCAATAGAAAATATTGTTGCAATAACAAAACAAAAAGTTTATATGCTTCAATAAATATTTATAAATTCACAAAAATATGTGCCTATGAACGAAATTGCGGATTTCATAGATTTACATTTTTATACTCGATACACAAGTATATATAAACAGCTCTACATACGCACGTGTATATGCTCTTTTGTAACGAGTTGAACGCAATTTCAACACGAGGATAACAAAAGAAAAATAGATATCATGTGCAACGTTATTAATTTCTGTGGCGCGACTGAAAAATAGTCTTATTTCTTGATTAGAGTTGCACAGTGTGTTTTAATGATTGTTTATACTATTTGTTTCCAAGGTGTAGGAACATGCCATTTTTTTATTGTGCCTAGTATGAAAAATACTGCAATTTACATTCAACTCAGCCAGCTAAGGTTTAATGAAATAATTGGACTTTAAGTATGACCATGAAGTTAAAATTAAGCGATAATTGTATAAAAATACAGGTATAATTTCAAATTTTATGAACTAACCATTCGTTTTGAATGAGTGTGGAAACTTGGCGATGGAGTGCGCAGCTCTTTTTTGAAGCAAGGGCAATTTTGTTAGACTTTTCTTTGTAGTTGTGCATCAAACAAGGTTGTAATATTGTATAATCTAAAACACTAGAGCATTGTAAAGGAAAACATTAATGTTAACTGGAAGAAGACATTTTAAGCGTGCTGTGGTTCCGACAGGAGAAGAAAGCTTTTTACTAAGGTGTTTGACGTTGTTACGAAACGACTGCCTCCCAAACCGTGAGAGAAAACGCGACTTTATACTGTAGGCATGGCGAACTATCTCTTTTGACGTCCCTCGCGAGCTCTGTGTCTTCAGCTTTCTCTTCTTCCCTCACGGTGTCACACGTTCTAGTTGCTCCGTTCCTGTTCATTTTTTTTTTCATTATCATTCGCGGTGGGCCAAGGTGAGATGGAGGCTTCGAGCAAGCAAATCTTTGGCACGAAGTGATTCACAACAGAACAATTCGCGAGACGGATAGAGCAAGTGCGTACAATGTTTTCTCTCTCTGCAATAGCTCAAGCAATGTGCCCATTTTTCATGACGTCGCTGGTGCCGTGCCTTCTTGCAAGAGCACTACATAACCAACTTGGAGCTTTGTTGTTGGGCATGTCGAGCGATTGTGTGCCGACCGCAGCAATAGCAGGTACGCTCGGTTCCATCTCTTTTAAAGTTCTACTGTTGGACGCTGGCGATGACGAGCCTTTCATTGCAGATCAACGGATACGTGTGGCTCTGATGGGCACTGTTGTCTGTTGTGGCATTCAGGTGCTGCGTTTACCGAGCAAGAAATGCGATGGAGTTAAGGGCTGTAGCTCGTTGGGTTCACTTCTAAGAAAGGTGAGGGGTCTGCTGTTAATCGCAGCTTCAACCTCACACAGCACCGTTGTGAGGCCTTCCACGTTAAGACTACTGCGTTGGAGTGACTTCTTGAGCGCAGTTTTTGTCGGACGAATGAGGCGCTCCCACCATCCACCTTACCATAGAGCGCGTTCTTCGAAAAACTTCCATTGTATCCTGATCTCCGCGCTGTACTGGCGAAGAGCAGTTAGCGCTG